GTAAATTATAAAACATTTAGAAGTTCCTCTAGAACTTTGGTGGGAAAAGTTTACATATGGCAGAGATGAGGAAGTTATATTAGGAATTTAGTTAGGGCCAAATCCTGGAGGTTTTGAATGTCATAGTACATAGTTTCTGGAATCTCTTTTGTGGTCAATGGATAGCTACTGAAGGTTTCTAAATAGTCAATGCGTACTTTTGAAATGCTTCTTTATTACTAGCTATGGAAAACCATTAGTGAGTCAAAAGAGTTTCATTCACTCACCAGTGGACAGAGTAACTTCTGAATGTCAGCAGGGCATTGATTTAATCAGCATTCATTTCTTTTTCCGTACAGAATGACTGCCACGTACAGTCATGCTTCTGGGCTGGCAGGAGAAAATGTTCACTTCACAGCCTGAGTTGAAATGGCCCAGTGTGTCCTGAATGCATTTCTGGCCAGAATTTCTCATATCTCAGTGGGGCGGTCGGCTCCCTGAAAAGTACCATCTTGTTGTCAGATCATTCCCCTTTCCTCAGTTGCTCTTTATTCTGCAGGGTTTTTTTTTCTTCCTAATGTATAGAGTTACCCTCTCCTGTGGCTTATTTTATTTTGGTCTTAAAGGAGGTCCAATGTGGAGCCTTTAAGGGCAGTTTGCGTTTTCTTTGTTTCGACGATCATGCCTTAGTTGAAACCTAGTACTTACAAGGCCTTTTAATAATCTCCATCCCAAAATACAGCATTATATGCAGCACACACATATCCACTTGGACTTTTCCTACCATTTCAGATGTGTATATCTAATTTCTAAAATTGAGTACAAAGATATCAAGCTTCCAGTTAAAATAATGACTTGTTTTATAGACTTTGGAAGCCAGTTCCAGTTTCCTGAACTGGTTCACAATGATTTAAAAGTCATGGCCAGTTCATGAATAAGTTTTATGGTTTAACCTTAAGTTATCAAATCTTTTTAAAAGTTTTCTTTTAGGGGCGCCCGGGTGGCTCAGTCAGTTGAGCGTCCGACTTTGGCCCAGGTCATGATCTCACAGTTCGTGAGTTCATGAGTTCAAGCCCTGTGTCGGGCTCTGTGCTGACAGCTCAGAGCCTGGAGCCTGCTTCAGATTCTGTGTCTCCCTCTCTCTCTGCCCCATCCCCATTCATGCTCTGTCTCAAAAATAAATTTTTTTAATGTTTTACTTATTTTTGAGACAGAGAGAGACAGAGTGTGAGCAGGGGAGGGGCAGAGAGAGCGAGACACAGAATCTGAAGCAGGCTCCAGGCTCTGAGCTGTCAGCACAGAGCCCGATGAGGGGCTCGAACTCACGGACCACAAGATCATGACCTGAGCTGAAGTCGGATGCTCAACCGACTGAGCCACCCAGGCATCCCAGATCTTCTTAATATTTATATTGGTGAAGATGGTAATCTTCACCATCTTCATTGGTATAAGCTCACTACTGGCTTATAAATGGGGAAAGCATCAAATAGGAAAAAACAACAACAACAATGTGGCAAAATTTAAGAAAAAGAACCAATTTGTCAACATCAGTTTTTGAGAGCTACTGAATCATATTCAGTGTTGTTAATCAGTATTGAAGCTCTCAGTGTGAATGATGACTTCAGAAATGTTATTAAACTGACATCCTTTTAATACAGTAGAGCTTAGGAAGCACTCACATGTAATACACTTTTTGATGTGTGTGTAAAAGATTGACTTGTTAGAAGTTCTTTTTTTCCTCTTTTTTTTTTTAGACATATCATAGACATCCTCTATATGTAAAGTAGGTGGAAAACAAACAAACAAAAAGAAGTCATATGACCCCTATTCTCAAAGAGCTCTACCAGAAAAAAACGAATATACTCAGGTAGGCGCAAAGCACAGAAGAGTCTGATAAGTTCTTGTAGAGGAATAGGGATAAGATGATATTGTTGTACTTGCCTGTTGCTGGAATGTTGAGAAAAGATCTCTTAGAGAAGACAGGATTTAAGCTTGGCCTCATGGGATTTGTTAGATTTCAGTAAGAAAAGACCAAGGACGAAGACACTCTAAGTCAGTGGAATAGCCTGAGCCGAAGATGAAGGTAGGAAAGTAAAAATCATAAATATTTATTTATGTTCTGTCAACTTTAATGGCTTGTGCTATATAGAATCAGAGTGTGTCAGTGCTAATCTGTTTTGTTCATAATTTATAGTTTGGCTCTTGACTAAAGACAGTTTCCACAAACCACGAAGACCTTACTATATTCTCGTAAATTATGTGTCCATGGGAGCTATAGATTATACCATCATTATTGAATATATATTTATATCTTTGAAACAGATCATCTATAAATTGTATTTTTGTTTATTTTTTAATTTTTGTTTTAAAATATGTATTTTTGTTTTAAATTTATTTATTTAAATTCAAGTTACTTAACATACAGTGTTGTATTGGTTTCAGGAGTCGAACCCAGGGATTCATCACTTATATATAACACCCAGTGCTCATTCCAACCAGTGCCCTCCTTAATCACATCACCCATCTAGCCCATCCCGCCACTCACCTCCCCTCCAGCAACTCTCAGTTTGTTCTCTGTATTTAAGAGTCTGTTATGGTTTGCCTCCCTCTCTGTTATTGGTTTGTTTGTTTTTCTTTTTTTTTTCTTTTTTTTAAACGTTTATTTATTTTTGAGACAGGGAGAGACAGCATGAACGGGGGAGGGTCAGAGAGAGAGGGATACACAGAATCTGAAACAGGCTCCAGGCTCTGAGCTGTCAGCACAGAGCCCGATGAGGGGCTGGAACTCACGGACCATGAGGTCATGACCTGAGCCGAAGTCGGATGCTTAACCGACTGAGCCACCCAGGCGCCCCTGTTTTTTTTTTTTTTTTAAGGAATTTTGTGATTTATGAAGCACATTTATATACATGACACAATTAAATCCTTCCAAAATCCTATGCAGTAGATGGTGGTATGGGGTTTTTGTCTTAAAGAAGAACTTTGTTTGTCTTAAAGGAGAACTAAGGCACAAATGTTTTTGTTTTTTGTTTTTTGTTTTTAATTTTTTTTTTCAACGTTTATTTATTTTTGGGACAGAGAGAGACAGAGCATGAACGGGGGAGGGGCAGAGAGAGAGGGAGACACAGAATCGGAAACAGGCTCCAGGCTCTGAGCCATCAGCCCAGAGCCTGACGCGGGGCTCGAACTCCCGGACCGCGAGATCGTGACCTGGCTGAAGTCGGAGGCTTAACTGACTGCGCCACCCAGGCGCCCCGGCACAAATGTTTAAAATGACTTTTTCCAGGTTTACTTGACCAATAAGTGTAGCCACACCCAATTTAGAACCTACTGTTTTTCCTCTATATCTATATCCTCATCACTGTGTAAATGTCCATACAATTCATATTTATCTGTGTTGGTATGTGAGAAGTTGAGAAAATATAAATTCAGAAAGAAACCACATCCCAAATTAGTGACAAGCGAAATCATTCTGTGAGTACAGAATTGAGGACAAAGGTAAAGGGGACAGGGAAAGCAGACAAGACAAGATTTGATGGAAGGAAGGCCAATAGCTAAGAGTAGGCACATTCAAGAGGAAAAGAGATTTTACTATTATTAGACAAAATTAAGGATCTTAGGTCTTAAAATAAGGCAGTTTATGTTTTCTGTGGTTAGGACTAAGATTATCTATCACGGAACGGCAGTAGCTGGGGACTTGGGAACTCAGTACTTCTTTTTTAGTAATATCTGTGTAGCAAGACTGTCAAAAGCAGACTCAATTGAATCTTACATATTGTTCTGTGATTTTTTTTGTGTACTTTTTAATAACGATGCATTTTCATGTCACCATACTCCAAAACAAGTCAAACATAATTTGAACTTTGCCATGAAAAAGACTGCTAATGTGAATATTCACTTTTCTGTTATGGAACAAACAGATATGTCTCTAGACATTCTCTGTGTCTAGAGCATAGGGCAAAATGTCTCAGGTTGAGTAAATTTAATCCTATTTTCTTGGAAAAAAATGCATCATTGCGTTTCATGGAGAGCAATGTATTGTGTGGTTTAGGAGAGGATTTTGTGGTGTCTATGGAGTGGTTATTAAAAATTCTTCTTTTATATTAATGAGAATCAAAGTTATATGTCTGGAATGAAATATTTCAATCAAAAAGGAGTGTGGTAGAAAGTTTTATGTGCTGTATTCAACATTTCTTATGATTGGTTTCTACTACTCTTAGTTTTGTATTCTTCACATTCTAGAGCAGGATAACAAATTTGGTGGAGTGAGAGGTATATTCATTCCCATCCTCTGGAAAGTCATAGTTTATACTCCCATTGTCAGGATGAAAGGCAAAAGGAACAAAAAGAAAAGAAGAGAAAAATACAAGATAAAAATGTCAAAAATATGAATTAGAGGTAGCACCACATTGGCAGCTTGCTGTGTGGTTTTTTTTTTAACTTTTTTATTTATTTGTGAAACAGAGAGAGACAGAGTATGAATGGGGGAGGGGCAGAGAGAGACGGAGACACAGAATCAAGGCAGATTCTAGGCTCTGAGCTGTCACCGCAGAGCCCTACGTGGGGCTCGAACTCAAAAACCGTGAGATCATGACCTGAGCTGAAGTCAGATGTTCAACCGACTGAGCCATCCAGGCGCCTCGGCAGCTTTCTGTTTTGGTCAATCATGAAATAAACAGAAGCATAAAGATTCAATTTCCCTGAAAATGCAGATGGCTCAGCAAATAGCAAGAAAAGAATGAACTTAGAATAGAGCATGTGTATCAATTTTCACCAAAGCCCAGATTGCCACATATCATTTTAGGAGCCCTGTTTATTACCCTCCCACTTTTCAGTATGGGGGGTTGTGTATAGTGAATATGAACTAGAACTTGGCCCTGCCACTTTAGCTGTTAGTCCTTGGGCTAGTACCAAGCTGGGTTAGAAATGTTTGTCTTCATTTGGTTCTTTTTTTTTTTTTTTTTTCCCTTCTGTAGCTTAACCAGCTGGAAAAGGCAGTGGAAGCAGCCCACACGTTTTTCATGGCCAACCCTGAGCACATGGAAATGCAGCAGAACATTGAGAATTATAGAACAATGGCCGGTGTTGAAGTACTCCAGTTGGTAGACCGAGAAGCCAAACCACATCTGGTGAGCGCTGGGGACCATTGCCCTAATCAGAAGGTGCTCCTGAGTTTCATTTGACTCAAAGCAGATTCCTGTGCATGGGGGTTTCAGGTTGAGTCTCGGTTTCCAATACAGTGATAGTTTTATATTTTCAGAGTTCTCAGATGAAATATTGTCATTATCAGGGCTGAAAAAATTAACAGAAAATGAAAATACCTTTAGAAAATAAGTAAGATATGATGAAAAGTAGAATGTGATATAAACATCTGTCACCCTCTCTGAACGTCAGTGCCCCCACCACCCTTTGATTTTACATATGGGAGTTGAAGCCAGTGTGAATTGTTCAGGTCATACTGTGGTTTCCCAGCTCCCACTCCAGGTGCTTTTCCATCATACCTATACTTTTAAAATTCTGATTATTTTAAAGCTATGTAATTATTCATTTAAATGAAAGCTTACTTAAAATCACAGTAAGTTGAAGGCTTTTTTTTTTTCAACCGGTGATGTCACCATTCTCAACATGTGACCTCCAAGATAATTGAAGAATAGAGTAAGAGAAGAAGATTTTCAGAAGCCTATTATCATCACCATCATTATCATCATTATTATTATTATTACATTTGTCCAGCCCTGGAAAGTGGATGCGTCACAGCCACCTACATCAATCTCCCTGGCCTTTGGTGCATGGCCATAGCTACATGCAGATGGGGTTAGAAAATATTGTCTTGCACGTGCTCAGGAAGAATATGAAATTGACTGGTGCCACAGCATTCAGCTTGTTGGTAACTCCCATCTCATTTACAATTACTTGAAGCCACGGAAGTTACCTTTTGTCTTCCAGTACAACCCTTCATTATTCTTCCACAGCACAAGAGCACAGTGCCCCCTGCCCAAACGATCCTGAATCTGTCTAAATCCTGCTATTCAAGCACCCCAATATTTTTCTGCTTCTTTGCAGGAGAGTTACAGTGCAGGAGTTAAACATTATGAGGCTGATGACTTTGAGCTAGCTATCAAGTACTTTGAACAAGCTTTAAGAGAATATTTCAGTGAAGATATGGAGTGCAGAGCCCTGTGTGAGGGGCCTCAGAGATTCGAAGAGTATGAGTACTTAGGGTACAAAGCTGGCCTCTATGAAGCCATTGCAGGTAAAGCTTACTTTTCCCTTTATTTATTTCCTGATTATAGAAATACTACATGCAATCTGTAAACTATTCTAATAATACAGAAGTATATGTTGCAAAAAATGGAAGATACATTTAGCCCATCCTATCTCCAATAAATAAATCTACCTAGTTTAAATGTTGTTGACTGTGGTCCCAAACTTTTTCAGATGCATATGTAAATGTTTATGTATTTATCGATAATTATTAGTTCATTTTTTATAAAAATAAGACAATACTATGGGTACTGATTTTCAGCATATTTGTTTTTTTGTTTTATTTTATGCTTAACAATGTAGGTGGACTTCTTCTCATGTAAGTACATGTAGATCTACCTTATTGTATTTAATGGTTGTTTAATGTTCCAATATATGTGGAAAGCATAATTGACTGGTTCATTTACTGATGAATATTAAGGACGTTGAAGGTTTTCATTATTGTAAACAGTGTATTAGTGAATACTTTTGTGTAGTTTTCTTCAATTAATTAAAAGGGCATTTCATTATATATGAAAATTTAATATATTACCAAGTGGCTTTTAAAATAGGTAATATGAATTATAATTGAGGAGATTGGCTAGTTAACCATTTATGGTGGGAAGCATATGCAAAAACACAAAAATAAATTCTATTTATGTTAATGTAAGTATGAAAATAAAGCTATTTGAACAAAATGCAAAAGAATATTTTTATAATGGAAGGAGAAGAAAACCACTTCTCAGCATGACAAAAGACAAGAAATATGAAGAAAAAGACAGACTTTACATAAGATTTATAATATAAGAGATACAATAAATTAAGCTGAATTACAAATGACAAGGGGAAAAAGTTGCAAAATATTTAGAGGCAAATCATTAATATTCATAATATTTGAGTAGAACCTGTAAATTATTATTAGTAGTGGTAATTTATTTCTGATTTATTGATAGCCATAATAATATAATGGCTATATAATATAAATAAGCAACATTTATATAGCAGTTACAATGTAGAAAGCATTTTACATATTTCATATTTATATATCTTTTAATCCTCTAAACATCTTCTTGTAGGTGTCTGAGGAGTTTATACCTCATAGCAATGTGATTATGGTGAAGCTAGAAATATGGGGTGGCTGGGTCCAGCGGATGGTTCAGCAGGTTAAGCATCTGACCTTGATTTCTGCTCAGGTCATGATCTCATGGTTCATGGGATCAAGCCCCAAGTCAGACTCTGCACTGACAATATGGAGCCTGCTTGGGATTCTCTCTCTCTCTCTCTCTCTCTCTCTCTCTCTCTCTCTGCCTCTCCCTTGCTTGTGCATGCTCTCTCTCTCTCTCCCTTTCTCTCTCCCTCTCAAAATAAATAAATAAACGTTAACAACAAAAAAAAGTGAAGTTGGGAATCAAGCCTAGGCTTATCTCACTCTAGAGCTCATATGTTTTAGGTCTACATAATTGAAAAATGGGCAAAGGATAACTTATTCAATAATACGTGTTTAACAAATATCTGTTGAGTGCATATTGTGTTCCAAGTTATAAATATATAAAACAACAATGCTCTACTTCACCAATACTTGTAGAAAGGCAAATTATGGAAGTGAGTCTGTTCTCCCTAAGTGCCAACGGTTTTCGGTCTCCACGAAAAGTACCACTCACCTAAGGAGTTCAAACCAAATCCCAAATGTTACCTTCCATTCCAACATTTCCCTTAATTGCTATTCTCTTCTGATTTGTTACCAAACTATGATTGCTAGCATAGTTACTAAACTATACTACCTCCTAATAGAATGTAAGATTCCCTAATTCTCTCCACCCCTTTTGTTACCACTCTGGTTCAAATCAACAGTATGTTTTAACAAAGCCACTGTGATAGCCTCCTTTCTGGCCCTCATGTCCTGATGAGGTTTTACTCTGTAGGCAGAGGGAACAGTCTTCTTAAAAAATGAAAGTATGTTCACAGAACCCTCCTGCCAAAGACTCCCATTGCACTTGAAATAAAATCCGAAACCTTTAATAAGGACATTCATCCTTATTGTTGTGCACTTGTGTATATTTTCATCCTTTCTCTTTTTCTGTCTTTGATCCACTCTTAGGTTCATTTTCACTCACAGACTTTGAAACTTGTTGTTTTCCTCTATTACTTGCCTAATGTTCTATATTGTTAATTGCTTGGTCCTCAGCACCTAAGTATACTGACTGGCAGATAGTAGGTGCTTAGTAAATATTTTTAAACCAATGAGTGGAAGGAAAAAAGAGGGGAAGGAGGGAAGGAAGGAAGGAAGGAAGGAAGGAAGGAAGCAAGGAAGCAAGGAAGGAGGGAGGGAGGGAGGGAGGGAGGGAAAAAGGAAGGGAAGGAGAAAAGAAGGAAATGACCTTTCCATCATCACACTGCAGATTAAAAGGATTATTCATACTCTATATTTTGAACATGTAGGTCATAAATTGTTAAGGTCTTTGAGAGGGACATTTAGGAAACATCTTTTAAAATTCAGATTAAGAAGTAGACTGAAAATCGGGGTGCCTGGGTGGCTCAGTTGGTTAAGCGTCTGACTTCAGCTCAGGTCGTGATCTCCTGATTCCTGAGTTCAAGCCCTGTATCTAGCTCTGTGCTGACAGCCCAGGCCCTGGAGTCTGCTTCAGATTCTGTGTCTCCCTCTCTCTCTGCCCTCCGCACTTGTGCGCTCTCTGTCTCTCTCTCTCAAAAATAAGTAAACATTTAAAAAAGTGAAAAAAAAAAGAAATACACTGGAAATCAATTTGTTGGATGAACTCTTTGCCTCCTTATCAGTTACTCAAAACCCAACTCAATTCACCTAAAATCAGTAAAAATATCTGAATTATTGAGGATTTTTCCCCCAAAGGTTTTGTTTTGGTAGGCCTCTGGCAAAGTCATCTGCCTACATTTTTGTGAGCACTGTTCATTTTAATGTCAGTTTTATATGTGTTTCACATTTCAATTGTTGAGTATTTGTTTGCACTTAATCTTTTATTTGGAAATCCTTTTCCTTTATTACAGTTTATTATCTTATAGTAGTATAAGGAGGATATGTATCCTGTCTCCACCCCCCACAATCTCCTCTACACCTGCCTCCATTAATAGCTACTGAAGAGCTCTCACAAATGTCCTACATCTGATTTAGGAAAATTAACTAACTGATACTTACAGAAAAACATATAATGATTTGCTCGAGGTCATCATAGTATGTTGGTTGCTGGAAAAAAATAGAGATCTCCTAACGTAGGCTCTTAATGCTTACTACATCTATCACCAACATTACCCCCACTTCCAGTAAAGACAAGTGATTTAAAAAGGCATGGTTCCTAAAACTCAATCAAATATTGTATATTACAGAAATATGGTAAGTCTTTTAGGGAATTCGATGCATATCCAATTTATTATGAGAAGGAAATTTTAAAAAGTATTCCCACACAAGTGACTTAGATCTCAAACTTATTAAAACATAATAATTGTATAATAACGTGATATAAAAAGGAGAAAAGAAATACAACCAATAAAATACAGCATAGCTGTATGTAAATTCTTGTCTGCTTCAAAACTGTTCTAAATTAAGACTGAAACTGGCTTTTAAAATACAGAATGTATTTAAGAAGTCAGAATATTTGAATTTTTAGAATTAGAAGAACTTTAAAAATTGGAGAAAAATACAAATGGCTTCTCAATGCAGTTGTTTATGACTGTGCTTGTTGAAACTCTAAAGAATATCCTTGCATCACTCTCATTTTGTTGCTATTTATATCTTACATTGAAAAATACCTCCATTCAGACTTGGCGTTCTTGTTGGGTGTGTTTTCCACCTCTCCCTTTTGCTTGTCATTTGTAATTAGGAGGAGTGGGTATTAAAAGGTAAGAGACATGCCAATGGCCAAGTAGCTAAGAACAAAACAGTTGAAGGTTGTTTGTTGTTTTCCTAAGAAATAAAACAACTATTTATTGGATTTTTATATAGCTATTTATTTATAAGATGCTAAACAAATAGAACTCATTCTTCCCCTCCCAGCCTGCAACTGTAGTTAAGAACCAGTGGGCTGTAGGGATTCTGTTTGCTGTGCCATGTTGGGTTGAATTAGCCAGACTGTGCAAAAACTGGTGGATTTTCCTACAGACCAGAAAACACCCTTTTTGTTGTGTTCTGAGGTCCCTATTCAAGTCATCAAGATACAAGCCAAACTCCACCCAACAGAGAACCTTTTTGAAAGGAGATATTTGTGGTAATAAAATATAAAGTCATAATGTCAGAAGGTTTTATCGTCATTCTCATGAGAATCTGCTCTGCACAAGCATGAATAAACTCTCTTCTATCTGGAAAAGATTGTCTCCATCTTCATTGCAAAAATAATTGGGGCAAAATGTAGGAAATGTTTGCTTCTCTGGGACATTAGCCACTTGTGTTTCCTCAGCTCATGCTTGGATGAGATAGAGCCCAGAGCTAGAGGGAGTGTGATAACCTCTACACTGGAGAATCCTATTTGTAAGTGAGAAGGATGGGAGCAAATAAAGGGGCACAAAGAGTCAGAGTGTGTATCCAAATTCTTTAGTTTTCCTCCTTATCCTATTTTACCAGTCCCTATAGTATTAGAATTTCCAATGTTCAAGTGATAGAGCCTTTTGTAAGTGAGTGGAATAGGTTCCTGACTAATAGACGTAAATTATATATATATATATATTCTATTTCCCCTTTAGGAAAAGTTCTTGGAAATGTTAAGGAGAAAAAGCATCTTTGCTTCTCTTCTGTACACAAACTGTGTGGCAATTACTTCCTCTCAACTGTTCCTTAGCGTGACCAGGATCTGAACATCCGATCTCCACCCAGAACACTTCAGGCCACCCAGTATCCAAAGAGAGGCCTCAGAGTTATTAAACAGGAAAGATACGTCAGCAGCAGGGCATGGGTGGGGTGAGATGGCCTGTGTCACTCTCAGGAGATGTAGAAAAAAGATACACGGAAGGGGAGAGTGCAGTACAGAGAAAAGATCAGGGTCCAGAAGATTTGGAATCTACTATTAGTTACTTTAGTGATCGCTGATCAGGAGGCCTTGGCAAGTCACTTACTTCCTTGGTGAAAACGATTTCTGCTCATAAAATGAAGATAATAATGAGATCACTCTAGCAGTGTGGTGAAGTGAGGAATGCCCTACATTAACTGTGGCTCTGACCTTGAAGTCTGGACACTCTGGCAGACAGGAGGGACCCACCTCTTACTCTTGTCTTCCAGATCACTATATGCAGGTGCTGGTTTGTCAGCATGAATGCGTCAGGGAGCTTGCCACCCGCCCTGGCCGCCTCTCACCAATTGAGAACTTTCTTCCCCTGCATTATGACTACCTACAGTTTGCCTACTATCGAGGTAAAGCATGGACTATCCTGAAGACCTTTGAGGGAGGGGTGTTGCTCATCATTACAGACATTGCATTTTCTTCTGTATTTCTCAGTTTACCATTGAGGCAGTGGGGATTAATATGTTTTTGCTCTCAACTCACATCACTGCAGCTCAGGCCAATGAGAGCAGGTGAAACCACAAGTGGGCAAATGCTGTGATAATGCCCTGCAAGTTATACTAGGCTGACACTTTACATGATTTTTAAATTGAATTTTTCTACTTAATTTTAAAAGGTCATATATTGGAGCGCCTGGGTGGCTCAGTCAGTTAAGCGTCCAACTCTTGATTTCCTCGCAAGTCATGATCTCACAGTTCTTAAGATCAGGCCCTGCATTGGGCCCTCCTCTGACAGTGTGGAGCCTGCTCGGGATTCTCTCTGACCCTCCCCCACTTGCACTTCTCTCAAAATAAATAAATAAACTTAAAGAAAGTCATATATTCATAGGTCTAAAGACTGAATATCATAAAAGCCTCCTTCTCTTCCTTTTTCCTGCAACCCAATTTCATGCCCTACGACCCAGTTTCTGATTTATCTCTTTGAAATACACACACACACACACACACACACACACACACACACACCAACTTATTTCCCCCTCTTATACATAGAAGGTAGCACATTATTTATACTGTTATTTACGATGTTTTCTTCACTGAATAATATATATCGGTGGCGTCTGGCCGGCTCGGTCAGTGGAACATGTGACTCTTGATCTTGGGGTTGTAGGTCTGAGCCCTCTACATTGGCTGTAGAGATTATTTAAACATGAAATTAAAAAAAAATGTGTATATATATATATATGTATATATATGTGTGTGTGTATATATATATATATATATATATATATATATATACACACACACACCAGATTTTAAAGCTTTTTAGTAAGTTGGGCCTATGAAATTGCCATTTGCTTAAGTCAAAAATGGTCAAATTTTGGCAATATTATATGGTTTGATCTAATTGTGTCAGTACATGGAGATCTTCCTCACTCATTTTTCTTTATAGCAGCATATCATTGTCCTATAATTTATTTTATATGTCTCCTTATTCATGGGCATTGTGTTGTTTGTTACAGCTTTCTATTTCAATCAAGGATCAAATGAATAACATTTTATGTAAGTTATTTCACATTCACACATAAATATATATATAGGACAAATTTCTAGCAGTATAATTGCTGTGTTGAATGGTTTATTCGTTTAAAATTTTGATAGATGTTGCCACATTTTCTTCCATGTGGAGTACATTTTTCATTGCCCATCAATAGAATATACTGGGGAAATTTTAGATATTTCACCAATCCATTAGGTGAAATTTTTTTTTATCTCAAATTAGTTTTAATTTCTATGTATCTAATTGAGAAAGAGAGACTGAGCATCTTTCCTTATGTTTAAAAGCAATCAATAGACTTGTGGTTGATGAAATTGGTTTTAGATATCATGTTGTCAAACTCAGTACAAACACAGAATTAACTCCCAAAAATTCTGCTCTGTTTATCTCTATTAAATGATATAAGTTGTAGCAAACATCTTCAGGTGGAAACTTTTAATAATTGATGCAAAACATCTAGCACCAAAGCAGACCGAAGATAGTACCTTTTAAACACCTGAAATCATGTCTTTCCTTTTGTCTGTGGCTATTTTTTTTTTTTTGAAATATAATTAACATATGGTGTTACATTAATTTCAGGCATACAACGATTCTGTGCATTACTCAGGGCTCATCATGATAAGTGCAGTCACCATCTGTCACCAAACAACATTATTACAATTTTATTGACTGTATTTGCTGTGCTGTACGTTTCAAGTCTGTGATTTATTTATCGTATACCTGGAAGTTTGTACCTTTTAATCCTCTTTATTTATTCCTCCCATCCCCCTCCTCCCCTCCCCTCTGACAACCATCAGTTTGTTCTCTGTATTTGAGAATCTGTTTTAATTGGTGACTATTTTTGTGTGTGGTCTCCAGCCTTACCTTGTCTTCCCTCTTATTCATGTTGAATGCTGACCTCTAACAGTTTCTAGATTTCTTAAAAATCCTCTAGATGGATGTAGGCTAACTCTAATGCTGCAGCTCTTTGGCATTTCAGTTGGCGAATATGTGAAAGCCTTGGAGTGTGCTAAAGCTTATCTTCTCCTCCATCCGGATGATGAGGATGTACTAGACAATGTGGATTACTATGAGAGCCTGCTAGATGACAGCAGTGACCCAGCATCCATTGAGGCCAGAGAGGTGAGACCAATGTCCTGAGAGGAAACTGCATTCTGTGAGAGGCACTGGGCAGAACTGGTAAAAATGTAGCACCGCTCTTAAAGGTATCTAGCAATTCAGTAAATGTTGTAGAATCCAGTTCTTTTGTACTTTGCTTATTAATGCCAGGAGCATATTTTTCTCATATGTGATAGCTTGTGAAAATCTGTTGAGATGGAGACTTTTTTTTTTGTAGCTGTGCATATTTTTTTAGCTCATATGTCACTGTCTAATGAAAAATATTTCCACTTGAACATTTATCATATTTCTTAACTGTTATTTAAATATAAACTTTTCTTTCATTTTTTTTTCCCTCTAGGATTTGGCAATGTTCGTGAAGCGTCATAAACTGGAATCGGAACTAATAAAATCAGCTGCAGAGGGTCTGGGATTTTCATACACAGAGCCAGTAAGAGCAAAGAGGAAAAAGAAAATGTTTTCTTTAGAGAACTATTTGATGGACTTCTTATTTATGATTTTATTTCCCAGCTTCAATTACTGAAAATTCTAATCTCTTGCCTTACATTAACAAAACCCAGGGAGTTGGGGGGGATGTTTATTCAATGTGTATGCTAAATGTTAAAAGACTTTAATAGATCTCCATAGCACTGAGACTCAAAGTCAAAAGCAAACTTTTCTGGGGAGAAGTGTTTTGTACCTGATGGTTTTATTTATTGAACTCTGGATGCAACATTTTGTATTTCTCTTATACATTTTAACCATTAAAAGACTTCAATCCCTGCTGAAGAACAAAATCGATCTCCATTGTACTATTCGTTGTGCTGACTTTCCTCCACTTGTCCGTGTTCGCTTCCAGTCATTCTGCATGTGAAGACACGCTTTTTGCAGAACCGGCACTGTGGTACAGAGAGATCTCTGTTCTGATTTCTATTTAAGGTTTCATAAGCAATTTCTACATGTTTATACCTTTTTAAATCATTTTTAGCTGCATATGTGGAATTGACATGCAATGAATGATGATTTTCTTGAGACTGAGCATTTGTTTTGTTTCTGAGTTTTTTTCTACCACATTTAACGCAGGAAGCATTTTTCTCTGTATTGAACTATGAATAAATTCCCAGGAGTGGGATTATTCTGCCATCAAAGGATATGAGAAGTTTTAAAGTTGTTGAAATTGCTTTTCTAAGAGAGTTTTCTCATACGTTTATTGGTCCTAGCAATTCATAAAAGTACCAGTTTACTGTGGTGCGTAGGTGGCTCAGTCAGTTGAGCATCGACTCTTGATTTTGGCTCAGGTCATGATCCCAGGGTTGTGGGATCAATCCCCTTGTTGGGCTCCACACTGAACATGTAGCCTGCTTAAGATTCTCCCTCTCTCTCTTTCTCTCTCTCTCCCTCCCTCATTCTCTTTTTCTCCCTCTGCCTCTCTCTCCCTCTCGTGTTCCATCTCTCTCTTTCAATTTTTTTTTAAGTACTAGTTTACTACAAACATCTCAGCAATGGGAAATAACATTTTAAAATCATTTATATTTCTTAGGTACAAAATGGTATATCATTGTTGTTTTAACTTGTATTCCTTTGATGACCGGCAAAAATAAATTTTTCACATATTCTGGTTAATTACTTTTCCTCTGATTTGAATTATCTGGGCATACCTGTTTTTTATTTGCTTACCTGTTGGTTAACTACATATAAGTTATTTATATAATGTACATTATCATATGTTTATAAAAAACACTATTATGGGCTCTGTGCTGAGAGCTCAGAGCCTGGAGCCCACTTCAGATTCTGTGTGCCCCTCTGTCTGCCCCTCCCCCACTCATAGTCTGTCTCTTGCATTGTCTCAAAAATAAATAAACATTAAAAAAAATTTTTTTAAACACTATTAGTAATATATCCTATTTGTAACATATTTTTTTCATTTCTGTCTTTATTATGTCAGTTTTTACTGGCACATTAAAAAAATTAGGATAATTTAAGGTATATAATAAACATTTTTCTTATTTTGAGAGAGTAAGAGAGTAAGAATAAGTCGGAGAAGGGCAGAGCGAGAGGGAGAGAGAGGAAGAGACAATCTCAAGCAGGTTCTGCACGCTGTCAGTGCAGAGCCCGGCATGGGACTCGATCTCAGGAGCCATGAGATCATGACCTGAACCGACTTCAAGAGCCCAGCACCGACTGAGCCACTCAGGCACCCCTCTAATAAACATTTTTAACATGCTTATAACCAGCCCTACTTACTATCTTCTTAAGATTTCATTCTCCCGGGGCGCCTGGGTGGCGCAGTCGGTTAAGCGTCCGACTTCAGCCAGGTCACGATCTCGCGGTCCGGGAGTTCGAGCCCCGCGTGGGGCTATGGGCTGATGGCTCAGAGCCTGGAGCCTGCTTCCGATTCTGTGTCTCCCTCTCTCTCTGCCCCTCCCCTGTTCATGCTCTGTCTCTCTCTGTCCCAAAAATAAATAAACGTTGAAAAAAAAATTAAAAAAAAAATTTCATTCTCCCAAGAGACTTCAGAAAAAGTCACTTTATGATCCTACACAGATGATTAATCAAGCTGTACATTTCTGTGTGTTTGTTTTGTTCAAAAAACATAAGGGAGTTGGACTAAATGATCATGTAATTGTCTTCCTGACACCAAATTCCAAATAATTTCTTGGACAAAAAATATAAATGCTTAGGCTAATTCCATGCTACTTTAAAAAATCCATTTGTGCAGCATATTGTCTTTGCCAAAATAGCATCAACTTTAGCTGTTTTTTTTTTTTTTTTTTATTAATCTGTTTAAGTTATTTACTGGATCTTTATACAGTGTGCAAGTTTCCCAATGATTTAGGTCTTTTGAGTGTTTTAAGTGTATATTTTATTTTTGTGAGTTACGTTTTAGTGATAAAGCTACTGAAGTGGTTTTTATGTTTGTTTCTTTGTTTTTAATTTAAAACAGAATTATTGGATCCGATATGGAGGACGACAGGATGAGAATCGGTGAGTTCTTCATTCAGAACACAATCTGTTTATTTTTAATGAGGAGAAATACTTAGATTCATACTCAGTATAAAGACCTTGTCTCTATGAAATAGGCAAAAATACATAATTAAAAGATTCCACACTGGGAATTAGTTCCTCAGCCTTCTGGTCCCAGCTCTTCCTGTACTTCTGTGTGACCTTGAGTGATTTATCTTCCTTCCCAGTCTTGTGTTTTTCCTCCAGTTTAAGGGGTTGGAGTAGGTGATCCCTGAAGGCGAAATATTCTGTGATTCTAAATTAGAGAAAATTGGATGCTATTAGTGATTTATTAACAGAATTGAGCTTAATTTTTTTCTTGTTAATGCTGAATTGTCTTACTGCATTTGAAAGCAAGAAGCTCAAAAAGTTTCACTGCAAGCTAAAATATTAGGTGGAGTTAATCTAACCAGAAGTGAAGGGACCTCGTTTTTCTAATGATAGAAGTGAAAAGTCAATGTATATGTTATGAACAGTTCAAGGAATCCTAGAACGTTGGAGTTACGTGTTTGAGATGACATGGTCTATCCTATTCATTTTCAAATTCAGAAACTGAGGTTCTGACAAGGCAAAGGACTCTCTCAGAGTGTCACTGCAAGGGACTGGCAGATTGAGATCTTCCTATTCAAAATTCTGTGGTCTTTCACTAGGCTTCAAGGCCTCAACCTCTGGGTGGCCTAAAATTATCAGAAGATACCTAAGAGTACACCTGCATTTTTGGGTTTATTCAATCCATGGATATTGAAAGGACATCATTGCTATGATCTGGATGTTTGCCAAGTTTAAAACTTGTGTCTTCTTTCTTGGAATAGTCGAGAATCACTACACTAGGTCTCGGTTTATTTCTATTCAGTCATTGTTCAGTGATGCACTCTGCTCCAGACAAAAATAAAACACTCTGAACATTACAAAGATTCACACGATAATTCTTTTCTCTCTGTTGAGACTTAATGTCTAATCCCAAGGGGATAAAGTTATGGATACAATTAACTGTAAAAAAAAAAACAAAACAAAAAAAAGGTGCTAAGGAGATTTAGAGAAGTGAAATAGAGCACAGTCTTTGAGGAAATAGAGGTCTTCATGGAGGCAGTGGCAGTTAATTTGATCCTGAAAAACAGGTGGACTTGTGCAAAACAAAAATACACAATATGGAGTCACAGACTACCTGAGTAAGGTGGCTTTTGTCTTTGAGCATATTTATGCAGTGAGAAATTCGATTCCAACTGTTTTTAACGGCAGGGTCCCTTCAGGAGTGAACGTGGAGGGGGCAGAAGTTCATGGATTGTCAATGGGGAAAAAATCATCACCCAAGATAGATCGAGACTTAAGAGAGGGTAAGTATCTGTGCACTTTTACTTACAGCAGGAGGGAAAGGAGATGCGACTTGGCTAGTTCTTACTAAAATTAAGGAAGAGCCCACTTTCTCTGGAAAGTAACGAGTTAGGACTAAGCTAGGACATTTATAAAATTCTGAAAGCAAGCCTCAAAAACAAGACTGTCTCAGATTTGTGTATCATTGCCTTTGGTTTTCAATATAAGTGCTTCCAAGGTCACTCCCTCATCTGTTTCCCGCAGGAATCCCGTGAGCTGGGCAGGGATTGAATGATCATTGGGACCCTCGGTTAAGTACCTGAGGCTTGGACTGTTCCCAGGGCTTCCTTCTGTTGTGCAGCGAGTGAGTGCTAGATAGTGCAGAATAGACTGCATCAGGGGAACTTGAAGAGGCAGGTCATATGGATATACAAGAGTTAACCTAAGATGCCTGAGGCACATATGCTTGAGCAGGGATCTGAGTGATAAGTACATTCTAGTGAATTGACAGAGGTGTGGA